CATTAGAAAATGAGAAAATCCAAAAATATGTTGTCAATGGAATGTGCTTGCAGGTGATGTATTGGGAAGTGATATATTCATGTGATAATAGGCAATTTGAATCTGTGTAACGTACCAAAGTTGAATTGTCTAGGCTCTGTGTTCGATGCGCTGGTAGGCACGAAAGATTTAAATGGACTTGACTAGGCACATATGAACTTAAGGAATCTAAAGACTTGAAAAATCTTGACCTAGATAGATCCATTTAGCCTGACAATACGACGCTCAGATAGGTTGAGCAGGGAGATATACATGAGAATCCACTGGTCACTCTAAAGTAGTCCGTATCTAGAACCATGGTTTAACTCTTCCTCGATGTACGGACTATGTCCTTAATTCCGGTATTGATGGGGCGACTGGGGAATTCCGATAAAGTAGGTTTGTAGGAAATTATTTTCTTGCTTTCTTTCTGTTAGCCATATGTTGCCTCCTCTGTGTGATCAAAAGATCCGACCTGGACTGCAACATATGCAACTCTATTTCTTTGCATCTTCTATCTATGCTATTCTTTCTGTCTGTAAGTCATATGTTGTCTCCTTTGCGTGATTGAAATATATCCGACCTGGTACACAACATATGCACCATTCTATATCTCAATCCCTCTAAATCTGGTTAGTCATATGTTTCACCCTCTGCATGATCGGAAGATCTGACCTGGGTGTATAGCATATGCATTCTAAATCTGACTTCTCTCATAATAATTGTATGCTCACCTAAAGTAAGGAGTACTTTGGAAGTTCTTGATTACCGGGGTATGTCAGGAAGCGGGAAACATGTTCTAGTACATTTAAAATTGAACAATCACTAGGTTGTCTGTAGATCTCGCTACTCAATTTAGGTGGACAACAATATCTTTGGTCGTCGTCAGCTGAATGGTCCTTAAGGAATATTATCTAGGAACATAGGATCACATTGTCTTGTCACTTATAGTATGTCCTAATTTTGTCACAATCTTTCGTGTTCAAGTGGACCACAATACCGGCGATTGACCAGATCTATTCATGAAGGGAGAGGTACTGATAAACGGATAAAGGCTGTCTAAAAACTTTGATCCCAAATCACTCTTAAAGTTAGCTATTATTTTTGTTTTTGTTAAATTTGTTCATAGTTTTCTTTAGGGGAGAATTAAAAATTTTAAAAACCAAACAAAAATCAGAAAATTAAAAATCCAAAAATAGTGTTATTTTTGTTTTATTTCTTTTTCAGAAAATATGAAAAATCCAAAAATATTGTGTGCTAAGTTTTATTTTAAGTTTTGTTTCTATTTTTAGCTTTGTTTGTCTTGAAAAGTGAATTCAGATGTAGATGAGACTCATGGAGACTGTATCGAGATTTCTGAGCCAAGACTTCATCTGTAAGTGTCGAAGAATTTTCATTCGAAGGAGCAAGAAATGAAGACTATTCTTTCAACATTCAATCCTTCAACCCCATAAGCAAGGTCAAGCTGTTCTTGAAGATTATGTGACAAGTTGCATTGAAGCCTCCTCAATCAATTTGCTGCTATCTATGTACCTGCTAAAGTGATGCAGAAGATTTGTTCTCTCTGATTTTCTCTCTGAAGATTCTCAAGCTGAAGCGCTATCTTTCAAGAATCTTATCAAAAAGCCTCCTCACCCAACGTGCGTTTAATGTCAAATTTTGAAGAAAAGGCCAACTGCTCAAGATGAAGTCATTCGTTGAAGATTCATCAAGTTCATCTTGAAGTTGTGAAGAATTTGAAGATTAATGCTGAAGCCAAGCTCCCGATGAAGATTGACAAGAAAAGCCAACTACTTTTTAGGGGGAGCTTGTTGGGCCAGTTAGAAAAGAAAGCTATAAACCAAGGGGGAGATTGTTGGGTCAAAATTATGGTTTATACTTTGCTTTTCTAGGTAATTGTAATATTCCGTCTAGGACCGAAAAGTGTTTACGGCCCAATGGGTGTTTACGGCCGTAAACAGGTTTACGACCGTAAACCCATTTACGACCCATATTCCCCAAGTATATATATAGGTGTTAGGGGTGAGGAGTGAGTGATGGATAAACAGAGGAGAGTAGTTTACGGTCAAGAGAGAGAGAGAGAGCATATTGTAGAGAGAAGATTAGTGTGTGTGAGAATCTCTTGTATCTGGATCTTCATTCATATCATCAATACATTAGATTCATCATCTTCTTCTTCTCCTTCTCCTTCATTTGATCTGGCATCATCCGTTTGATTGGGATTCTACACCATCAAACAGATCTGATTGATACACAAGCAGATTGGGGACTTACAATTTCAGGTACTTCGGTTTTCAAAAAGGTAGAGCTTGGGATGATTGCAGAGTACACACCATATGTTTCCGCCTTGGATGTTTTACTCTGATTTTCACCGAAATTGATACAACAATTTTAAGTATATGTTTGGATGTACTGGACAATACTGTTTTATCTATTATTGAAATGTAATTTTTGGGACCATATTTCAGGGTGTTACATTATCTCTCCCTCTCTCTATCTCTCATTCTATATATATATATATATATATATATATATATATATATATATATATATATATATATATATATATATATATATATATATCTTGCCCTTAGTTCTCAAAACCCCAAAGAACACTAAATCAATGGAACACCACCATCGATGGCACCACCATCACCTCTGATCACATCGATGAAAGTTGTAGCCCACCATCATCTCCTCCGTTCTCCCGCACACATACTTTTTACCTCCGGTACTATCTCCCCTAAAACTCTCCGATTTAAAAAATCTATTCAAGTTGATGGTGATGACTGATGAAGGAGGAGGGATGAGATATAGTCGGCAATGAAGATGAAGATGGTTGGAATGAACCCAGGTAAATTGCGTTTTTGCTCAACAAAACCAGATTTCTCAAAAAATTAGTAAACCAAAAAGCAAAATCGTTCGAGTTCATCTATGCCACCTTTGTGTTTTATCAACAAAACCAAATTAAGGGGTGAAGAGGTTGGAAGTTTTATTTTCGTGAACAACGACGTCTCCATCTTCTTTAGCAAACCGTAGATCTACCTCCCTCTTTACGAATCTACAATTCCCACCCAGATCAACTTCCATCCTTACAGATTTGCCACCGCATTCGTTGCCTCATCCAGATTGTCGTCGAAATCGAATAAGTGAGACGAAGGAGACATCCAGATCATGTACATCGTCGTCAGAATTGATGTGTCACTAAAGCATCTTCAAACTCGTGTTTGTTGGACTTTGGTGGTAGCTTTGATCCGTTCCAGTTCAGTGCTTGTACTCATATGAATGGTTTGCTAAGGAAGATAGGGGCGGTGAGCTAGGGTTTGTTGAGGAAGATGGCTGCCTCTCTAAACTCGTTTCCAGGTCGTGGTGGTCGTGGCGTTCTGAATCTCCGATGATGGCGGCGTTTTCCAATGCTAGCAACAATTTCTGTCGGTGGCACCGATGGTTTCCAGTGAACAGTAAATGTGTAGTGGTGGCTGAGAGAGAGAGAGATAAGTATTTTTTTAGTTTTTTAATCATAAAAATATTTAAATAAATAAAAAACTGAAAAAGCTAAAAACAATGGTAAAATCGTCATTACAAAAAAGTTTAAAGTAAATTGGACCAAATTCGTAACAAAATGAAAACTAATAGTTTTTTAAATAAAATAAATTTGTAACAAAATGAAAACTAATAGTTTTTTAAATAAAATCACATGACACTAGATGTGTGTCCGCACAAAACAACGGCGATACATAGTTTTTTTGAAGAATAGTTTTCTTACGGGGAAATAATTATTAGATTATATTATTAGTTATTATGTAAAAAAGTTACCACTTTTAAATAAAATATTTGTGTTTAAATAAAATGAAAACTAATAGTTTTTTAAATAAAATCACATGACACTAGATGTGTGCCCGCACAAAACAACGACGATACATAGTTTTTTTGAAGAATAGTTTTCTTACGGGGAAATAATTATTAGATTATATTATTAGTTATTATGTAAAAAAAGTTACCACTTTTAAATAAAATATTTGTGTTTAGACCTTATACTTATATTGCATGTTTATATATTTAAAGTAAATTAAGTAATATCGATGTCTAGTATGAATGGCAACGGGGCGGGTTCGGGGCGGAGCATGGTTTCCCAAACCCGCCCCGATATATTTCGGGTATCTTATCGGGGTGCCTCATTGAGTTTCGGGTTTTCCCGTCAGGTTTCGGGTATCTTATCGGGTTTACAACAATTCATAACGAAATCTTTATTCTGTTTTAGGGTACCCCGATGTCTTATAAAAAATACGTGTTCTAGCATCTCTTTTATTTTAAAAATATGATGAATCATTTTAATAAAATAAACTGAACGTTATATTAAAAATTATTCGATTTAAGTTTAGTATAATACGTCAAAACATAAAAAATGATCAAAAGGATTCGAAAAAATATAATATAGATATATATATATAGATATATATAGATATATATATATATATATATATAGATATATATATGATCGGGGCGGGTCGGGTCGGGTCGGGGATAACCCACTCCCTGCCCCGAACCCGATAAAAAATCCGATAACGACCCGTTACCCGACACGAAATGATCGGGTTACCCCGTCGGGTTCGGGTTTTTTTGCCATCCCTAAATTGTCCAGTTTAAAAAATTTAAATTAATTTATATACATGAATTTTTATATTTTAAAATTATCATTTTGTTCCAAATTAAATTTTTTAACAACTTCTTTAATTGAAGTCTTCAAACTTTTTGACATGTATTAATAATATTTATACATAATTAATTTGTATAACCGTCGTTAAAAAAAAATTTGTATAAAAATTTATAAATTATACTTCTTAAAATTAAAGATATAACCTTCAAACTAACATGCTTTATAAGATTTTTTTGGAGTCAAAGTGAGTTCATATAAATATAATTATATTGAAAATTCATTTTGCCAAAATGAGATTGGCGCACATACGCGTGCTAGTACGACCAATAAATATCATCTACTGAAACTACAGTTGTTGGTAGGTTCACCAGTTCATCCTCCTGTTATTTCAACACACGAGACGACTCCATTACTGCAACTTCGTCCTTCTTCCTAACCTCCCTGCAAGGACCCCCACTACCATCAACCTCTATCCCTACATATTTTGCCATTATTGTTCTAGATTTCTGAAATGGAGGTCGACACCAGCCCCCATACACATACAACCTTCGATCGAACCCCAAAACAACCACCATATCCTCTATACTCCGACGAACATCATCGTTCATTAAACCTTGATCACGAAAATTCCAAAATGGGAGCGTCCTTGTTTTCCACTCTCAACCCCAGCATTCAGCCTCCGTCACCGGCGGCGGATGTTAAATGTCAAAGCCCTACCTATCACTCCGACGCCGCTATGAAACTTCAAAAGGTCTACAGAGGTTATCGCACCCGTCGCCTCATGGCAGATTCTGCCGTCGTTATTGAAGAACTCTGGTACTGATCTTGTTTATCACTATATATAACATCGTTTTTCATGGTTAATTACTCGATTAACGTAATATATTTTGAAGGTGGCAAGCCCTTGATTTCGCCAGATTAAATCACAGCACAATTTCCTTCTTCAATTTCCAAAAACAAGAATCAGCAGCTTCCCGGTGGAACAGAATCTCTTTGAATGCTTCTAAGGTACACCAAACAAACACAATACCAAACAAAATTACATTTCCCCCTTTTTTGGGTAAATTTTGGTTGTGATTTGGATAGCTGTAGTTGTTTTTTGTTGGTAATTAACTCCAATTTTGTTTTTGGCAGGTGGGTAAGGGTTTGTCATTAGATGCCAAAGCTCATAAATTAGCATTCCAACACTGGATTGAAGCTGTAAGTATAATCACCCCAACCCATCAAAAACTGATGATTATTTATTTCTTACTATATCTTCACTAATTGATATTCCGAGTAATTTCAGATTGATCCTAGACACCGATATGGTCATAGCTTGCACTTGTATTATGAAGAGTGGTGCAAAGCTGATGCTGGCCAACCTTTCTTCTACTGGTGTGTATACCTGATTTACATTTTTACAACAAAATTTTATTGCATCCCCTTTACAAATTGCAAAATACCTATACTCTAATTGTTACTGTTATAACTTTCCTGATATTTATCATCTATCAAATCGATTATGGGAGATATAAAAAAAATCGTTATGTCCTCCATTATATGAACAAGATCCACTCCACATATTTCACATTCTAAACTTTTTGTTGGACTCATGTAGATGAGTAAGTGGAAGTGTGTGATCAATCGTGTTCTTGACTTCATGTGCTGGCCCCACGTGATAAAGTTGAAAGTTTGGGATCAATAATGATCGATTTTTGGCCAAAAATAAGTAGGAAAAATGTGTAAATCAAAATTGTGCAATAAATCTTTATTGGAAATGGTTGCTATCACGTTAATTGATGATGAATGCAAAGTTAGAGGTGGCAAAATGGGAAAATAAAATAATAAAATTTTTTGGTTCATTTTTCTTTCGAAAGAATAATTCTTTGGATAAATTAATTTACAAGGTTGTTAAGATTTAAATATTACAACCCGTTTGATATGTTAGATTCTCAATATTTATTTATTTTTTTTTTATTATTTTTATTTTTTAATTTTACTCGTCTTATTTGTAGGACATCTAAATTAATCTTTTTTTCAGTAAGTGAGTCGAAACTGGCGTTCTCTTGTATGTGTAAATGAAAATTGTGCAGGAAATATTTATTGGAAATGATTATTTTATTTGTAATTGCTGATGAATGCAATGCCGTAGGTAGCATGAGTTGTGGGTCAAAACGGGCGTCATTGACCTTTTGTCAATTTTCTTTGATTTTATATATTAAAATTAACATTTTAAAATGCCACTATATCAATACAATAATAACTTAAGTTTTTTAATAAAGCGAATATTTGATATAATGACTCATTTCTTTCCTTTCACATTCAATAAAGTGTTTTATCCATGTGATTCATTATTCGGATATAAATATAAGGTGACTCAATCATTTTTCTAGGTAAATAGGTCCAAATTTCTACCTTTATACAATCTCATAATAGCCTTTCATTTTCTTTTAAAAACAAATTAGAATTTAAAAAGTTTTAAAACTTGTATTTTCTTGAAGGTTGGATATTGGAGATGGACGAGTGGTTGATTTAAAAGAATGTCCAAGATCAAAACTTCGTGAGCAGTGCATTAAGTATCTTGGACCTGTATGTTTTTCATGATTTATTTTCACTTAATTTTATAAAAAAAAATTACAATCAAGATTATTATTATTAATTTTACGATCATATAAACAGCAAGAAAGAGAGAATTACGAGTATGTCATCATTGAAGGCAAAATCGTTCACGTTCTAACTGGACACCTACTCGATACAAAAAATGGAGAAAAATGGATATTTGTCACAAGTGCCTCCAACAAACTTTACGCTGGCGAGGTGAGATTTTGAATACATCTATACATGAACAAACGCATTCTTGAGAATTTAGCAAATAATTAAACATTTTTTTATTATTATAATTGGAATTTATAGAAAAAGAAAGGAAAGTTTCATCATTCTAGCTTTCTCGCCGGAGGAGCTACTTTAGCTGCCGGAAGGCTTGATGTGGACAACGGGACACTTAAGGTATAACACAAATCCACTGCGTAATATATGAATTTTATTTTTTTGTTTAATATAGATAAATTTGCTCTCAGTTATATTTCCAATTTACAAAAAATATTTATTTATACAGTAGATGATACTAGATGCAAAAAAGAAAAAAAAAGGTATTATGTCACTTGTTATTTTTATAAACGAATAGACATGTGCAACTTTTGATGACTATACTATCGTCAAAATATTAAAATATATTTGTTGATGACTTGTGAGTTGTGACCTTGGTCAATGGTCATCACCTAATATATTATTTAGTTCTTAAATAATCTTCATTTAACATTTTGTGTTTTGTTTTTGTGTTGTTTTTTAGACTATCTCTCCGTATAGTGGACACTATCGTCCAACCGATGAAAGCCTCAAGTCGTTCTTATCTTTTCTCAAGGCAAATGGTGTCGATCTCGAAAAAGTTGAAGTATGCAATTTTTTCTCCAATTTTATTAGTATTTTATTCCATTTATGTGAAAAACAATTAGTTATCCGCTTGATCCATTACAAAATGCTCATGTCATATTCCTTTTTATTACATGCGTCATATTCCATTCATGTGAAAAATAATTGGTTATAGGTTTGGGAGTGTGGGGCCTTACAAAAGTAATTAATAATTTCTCACATTATTGTTGATGTTGATATTTTTCAATTTGTGAGGGGATAAAGTGAATATTTTATATAAGTGGTTACTTTTTTTCAACACTAACCCTGTTTTTGTGTGATCAGATAAAAAAGGCAAATGAAGATTACGAGAACTATGAAAACAAGAAAATGACTCAAAATGGATCTGAAACTGAACTCGGGATTCCAGTTTCTTCCGATACCCCGGAATCCGAAACCCATGATCGCAAACCGGAATTGGAATCGTTGTTTCCGGTTGGTGAAGTGGTGGAGAAGAAGAATAATGGTTGTTATAAAAGGAGTCTCTCTGGGGGTCTTAATAGTCCAAAAGCCGATGTGCCAAAGAAAGCGATACTAGAAAGGATTAATTCAAAGAAAGCGGCATGTTCCTACCAGTTAGGAAACCAGCTTTCTCTGAAATGGTCAACGGGGGCTGGACCAAGGATCGGGTGCATTGCGGACTACCCTATTGAACTGAGGATGCAGGCTTTGGAGTTCACTAATCTCTCTCCAACTCCAAGGGGGAACGGCCGAATGGTTTTTCCATCACCTAAACATAGTGGTAATTAGAATAAATGATAATCACATCCAGGTTACTTTAATTGGGCGTAAAATGTGAATTAGTTTGTTTGAAGTTTGGATTATTATAATTATAAAATAAAATGTTATGTTTTGGTTCCCAACTTCCCTTACATCCTTAACGTCGTTTATTTTCATACGATTCTTGCAACCTTCTATACTTTTAAGTTTGTAAAATTGTTTCCATCATGTGGTAAGGAGAAGGCTAAAGTCCACCACAATTTGATCCATTCCAAGCACCATTTAATCCAATGTTTTTGGCGACACAATTTCAGTATCAAACTCAATCGCTATTTAAACCAATGTTCTTGCAAATGTGTATATAACAATTATGCAACAATTTCCTACTGTGGCAAATATCGACACAATATGATGATACACAGTCAATGCGAAGTCCTTCACAATTTGTGTTGAAAACCCAAAACTTGAACACATCCGATTGTTAACCTCAAAATTCTGATGACAGTGATGAAACCCAACCCGACATACAAGACGAAGAATTATAGAATGAGTCACCGGATGCGCACCCTCCATGTGCGATGACTACTTCGAAGAAGAAAGCAAGGCAATGGAGCGCTGGCGAATAAGTTGTGTTGGTCAAGGCTTAGGTCAACATTTTAAAAGACCTACTAACCGGAAATCAACAATGAGCAACATCTTTTTGGAAGTGGGTTCTAGCATATTTTAAAACAACAATTGGGAACCTCTGATCGTACTATCCATAAAGTGACCTTCAAGTGTAATGACATGAAATTGAAAATCACCAAGTTCGATAGGATCTACAGTAACAAAAAAAGCCAACCGAGAAAAATGTAAACACGATTTTCCAACATGAACAACTTGATTTAAAAAAAAAAAACGTTTACATATACTTTTACAACTCAAATCCTCACTACAAGTTTTCCTACACTACACTCTTAATATTTTACTCGTATATCAAAGATGTAATGAACAATGAACATGAAACCCTAAAAAAGTAAGTCATAATCTATAAGAACAAAGGATTACAACAAGAGAGCGAAAAAGTAAAAAGTATCTATGAAAATGACGTCATAATGACCTAAATCATGTGCATCTACATTTATATACATCGGGTTGTCAATGACCTCACAACCCGCATGTTTATTCGAAATAAGATACAACCGACACCTTCCATCTTTCACAATATTACCCCTACAATAAAAATTAGAAAAGAAATACAAAAATAAACAAAATATAGAAAAGATGCAAAATGGTTAGTTTGGAATATAACACTTCATTATTTCAACACCATCGATCTAACTAATCATTTGTTAACATTATTTTATAGAAAACGGATCAACCAAACACATTTTTTTGACAATGATTCTCATGTTGAAAAGATACAAGAGATTTAGTCAAAACATCAATAATTTAATTAACCAACCAATTTTAACAAGCTTAATAATACAATTTTTAATCTTTTTCCTAATAAAATGAACATCAATTTCAAAATGCTTAGTCTTATCATGAAAAATAGGATTTAAGGTAGTTTTATAGCAGATTTATTATCACAAGAAATTTTTACCGAAACAACTTGATTAAATCTTAAATCATACAAAATTTTTAGGGATAATGACTTAAAAGGGTAATGTATTTTTCGATTTGTACACATTTAGTCACTGATTTTTTTTTTCGTCCACATTTACCCATTCAACTTGTTAAATTGTACACATTCACTCATTATGACCGGCTACTCCAGGTTAGCCGGTAATAATGACTTAATAGGGTAATATATTTTTCACTTTGTACACATTTAGTCATTAATATTTTTGTACACATGTACTCATTAATATATATATATATATATTTTCTTTTTGCAAAATAAGTCATTTTTGTTTTTGTACTCATTAAATACCTATGAATGATTTCTTTAGTTTTTTCTCACGAAATCTTACGTGGGAAATTCATTAATGAAGTGTTTTGGGCCTTTTGATGTTTATGTCGATCGCGATCTCAACTGCTTGGTTGTTTAGGTCATGTGCTCTGAACGTCATAACTTCTTCATACGATCTCGGATTTTAACGATCTTTATATCCATGTGAGCGATCTTTATATCCATACCATCTCGGATTTTCGATTTTTTTTTCGTTTATAGCTATTTTTCATGTATCAGCAACACCTATTTCATCTCGGCAATACCTACTATGCATTCCTGCGTCTGTCCTTGTCCATACGTTTTTATGAATGCATGTATGGATGTTTTTTTTTATAAAATCGTAAGTAAAAATATATTACATTTTAACAGGGAATAATCTTAATGAAAAAAATGAACATGTGAATATAAAGATCGTTAAAATCTGATATTGTATGAAGAAGTTATGACGTTCAGAATACAAGACCTAAGCAAACCACAATACCTACGCAGCCAAATAGTCGAGATCATGTTAGACATAAACATCAATAACCCCAAACAACTCATCAATGATTGTCCCACGTAAGATGTCATGAGAAAAACCTAAAGAAATCATTCATAAGTATTGAATGAGTACAAAAAAAGGACTTATTTGAAACAAAAAAAATGTTAATGACTAAATATGTACAAAAATATTAAGGACTAAATGTGTACAAAATGAAAAATATATTACCCTATTAAGTCATTTTTCCCGGCTAACCTAAAGTAACCGGTCATAAGGACTGAACGTGTACAGCTTAACAAGTTAAAGGGGTAAATGTGGACGAAAAAAAAACTCAGTGATCAAATATGTACAAATTGAAAAATATATTACCCTTTTAAGTCATTATCCCAAAATTTTAATACCCAAATTATTTCACAAGTTAATGAACCAAGAACTCTATATTCATATTGAGTTGATGGAAATAGCAGGCTGTTTTTTCACTTCTCCATGAAACAAGAGAATCACTAAAATAAACTAAATAACCACCTACAATATTCATAGAAAAGAGACATTTAGCCCACTTAGCATCATAAAATCCTTTTAAAACAAGAGAATAAGTTTTTAAATAACATACTCCGTTTCTAGGACTATTTTTAAGATACCTTAACAACCTTAAAGCAATTCTCAAATGTGACATTCTAGGCTTGCCCATAAATTGACTTAAAATTTGAACTAAATAGGAAATGTCAGACGTTATAGTGAGATAAATTAACTTTCCAACCACTTTCTAATAATCATTAATTTTTTCAAGAAAATTGTCACTACTTTGATCAATATCACGATCAACAATAAGATTAGCCTCAATAGGAGTATTAACTAGTTTGCAACCAAGCATCCCAAATTCATGTAATAATTCCAAACAATATTTCATTTGTGAAAGACAAACATTGGAACATCATTAACTTCTATACCTAAAAAATATTTCAATTTACCTAAATCTTTAATCAAAAATTGAGATTTAAGAAATTCTTTAACTTTAGCATTTTATGTTTCATTATCTTTTATTAGGATTATATCACCCACATAAACTAACAAAACAACAAGAAAAATTCCTACAGACTTTACAAGCATGGAATAGTCATTAATACTTTTATTGAAACCAAAACTAAACAAAGAGACACATAATTTTTCATTCCACTTGTGTGTAGCTTGCTTTAACCATATAAGGACTTCAAAAGTTTACACACCCTAGTATCACCATTACTATGATACCCTTGAGGTAATGCTGTATAGACATCCTCCTCAAGATCACCACATAAAAAAACATTATTAATGTCAAACTGATGTAAATTCTAATTTCGATTAACAACAAAAGTAATTATAATCCTAATGGTAACAATTTTAGTTACATGAGAAAATGTTTCCTCATAGTCAACACCTTCCATTTGACTGTAACCTTTGGCAACCAAGTGAGCTTTATAACTCTCTACTTAACCTATTGCTTTATAATTTTGTAAATCCAACAATATGCAATTGGTTTTCTATTTTTAGGTAAATCAGTTATTTCCCAAGTTCTATTTCTATAAAGGGCTCTCATAGATTCATGGCTTTAACCCATTCAGGATGAATCCTCAAAGTAAGACTGAGGTTCAATGGTTTCATTAATATTAGTTACAAAACACTTATTTTTGTTAGATAAGTGAGAAGAGCTAACAATTTTTTCTATTCCATATTTATATTTACCTTGAACAACATAATCATCAAAGTGATGTGTGTAAAATACACTAGTTTTTAATCCTACTACTTCAAACACAAATAAACACACAAAAGGCAGTGCACCTATCGTTTAGCAATATAGTTCAAGCAAGCATGATATCGAACACAGGAAACGGTAATAATTAAACTAGTTACTAGAATTATCTAATTAAAAACAAATAATAAAAAGAAGGGTTTTCTCTAGTTTTGCAAGACTAGAAACTTAAACAATTGACTAATACTCAACCTAAGATAACTAAAAACTAAAGCAATTAAGAAGTAATTAAATTCAATAATAAAAGAGACTTTTTTTTTTCAGGTTCGACTCACTTGTTTCTATGGTTGATTTTATGGCAAGTGCAATGGATTATTTTGTCATTGGCTACCGATTAATGTGATTAGATTAATGTTCACTATTACTAATCTATAGAAAATAAATTAATTTAAATAGTGGCCAATTGGTTAAACTAATGAATTTCCTAGTATTTTGATTCGGGTTAAGTAAGACTTGTAGTTGTAGCTAATTAAATTACTAATTCAATCAACATCTTGTATGGTTGTTCATCACACAAGCTCACACATTAACTTACCTATTTTCTAATTAATCCTAGGTTCATATTCACTAATACTAGGCATATAATATTGTTTTCACATAAATCATATGAAGCAAGCAATTAAGAGGATGTTCATACAACTTAATAGACTTGATAATTAACAGAAAATAGTTATTGTCAACACATAAGGATCGTTCACAAGCTTAACAAAACAATTTCACCAAATCAAATAATCTATACCATAAAATCAATCCATATTAACAAGCTAATCTACCCTAAATAGAAGTAATGAGTTTTTAGCTCATATCTACAGCAAGTAATATCTCAAAACGAAATCCATAAGTAAAAACATAGTTTTGTGCAATAGATTAAGAAAAAGAGAATATATGTTGCCTTTGATCTCTTCCAAATCGATCTCTAGGGTTGATCTTCGAA